CGTTATCTATACGTTTTACATATCCTATTCACCTTCCTATGACACATTCTCTCCTTTCTCAGACCGTATCGCCCTTGGTCTCTTCACGTTTACTTTATCATGCTTCACACTTCAGTCTTAACGTCCACTTTTTTTTTCTTTCTTTCTTTCTTTCTTTTTTTTTTACCTATTCTTCCAGTTTATTTTCTTTTTTTTTTTGTTTGTTTGCTTCGTTATCCTTATCGATTTGTATTCCACTTGTATTCCTTTTAGTCGATCGTGCGTATTTTACGCGTATAGATGCGTCGGTGAAAAAGCCGCGTACATTATCCGACGAAATTTCCACGCGTCTTTTTTCCACTGTACGTCTACCTGTTTCATATTCAAGACACGTGATGTAATTCAAACGATAAGCATTATCGTTTCTTCGTCTATTTTCTGATATGACATTCTTTCTATATATGTGTCTACAGGCTTTACAATAACTGTGAAGTATGATTGTATGGTATTGACATTATTCAAGTTTTCCATTGTGTACATCTGTTGTATTTCGCCATTATGTGAACTTAATTTTCTGACACTTACTGATCCGAATTTTTTACCTTTGTTTTAGGCAATGGTGACATACAGTGGTGTTTCTCGCAGGTGAAAGGAACATTGGAAGATGATGTTACTGAAGGCAAGTTTTATCTAGAACTTAGTTATATTCTTTTTGCACTCTATCTTATCAGTATGTATTCAATTACTGCAAAAGTACGATGACTTACAAATTAAGTAATATTACGCGTTTCAAATTTATTTATTTATGATATTGAGTTATAATTGTTCATATTGTCCTCTGTTCTAGCTGATATAATCTCTTGTGTTGAATTTAACCATGATGGCGATCTTCTTGCAACAGGAGATAAAGGTGGTCGGGTTGTCATTTTTCAAAGAGATCCCATTGTAAGTTGATATGATCTTTTAATAATGTTAAATTTTAATAATGTCAAGTAATAGCATTTTTATTTAGCGTACTATGACAGTTTTTACACTTTAAATAAAATAAAATTTGTCCTTTAAATAAAAATTATACTTATGTCTTAGTATTGGAGTATTGCCAAATGTATGTGTACAATATGTTACATTTCTCTATCTTTAGAAAATTTCTAAAGATAAGCATTGAACACATTGGAAATAATAAATATCTTAAATATTTTTCACTTTAACCTTATTCAACTTTTTCTTTTTTAATAGTTTCAATACTTTTAAGTTAAAGAAACAAAGAATATTTAATAAGATTGTTAAATAATTAGAAAATAATATTTGCATAGAGTAAAAACAGTATACCTCGGAGAGGTGAATACAATGTATACAGCACCTTCCAAAGTCATGAACCTGAATTTGATTACCTGAAATCACTAGAGATAGAAGAAAAAATTAACAAAATTAGATGGTTAAAAAGAAAAAATCCAGCACATTTTCTACTTTCCACAAATGACAAAACAATTAAGTTGTGGAAAGTTAGCGAACGAGACAAAAGAGTGGAAGGGTATAATACAAAGGAGGAAAATGGTACAATTCGTGATCCTGCTTGTATCACTTCCTTAAGGGTAAGTACTATATTATATTTACTTTTTTTTTTTTTTTCTTTTCAAGTAGAAGTTTATGAATCGTGTAATAGTTAAGGGTATTCAAATTTTATATAAAATAAATTCATTCAAGATTGTATCTTTTCATTCTAAATTTCTACATAAATATAATTTCCTCTGTACCATTCTATATCTAACAAAAATACTTAGAATAGAAATATGGTCAAGGAGTTCAAATATGCACATAACATTACGAGACTTTAGCATTGTGGCTGTATCATATATTCAATACCTACTTACTGACTTAGGTACCAATAATAAAACCTATGGAGTTGATGGTAGAGGCATCCCCAAGAAGAATATTTGCCAATGCGCACACCTATCACATAAACAGTATAAGTGTCAACAGTGATCAAGAGACGTACCTCAGTGCTGATGATCTTAGAATTAATCTTTGGCACCTTGAGATCACAGACCAGAGTTTTAGTATCCTTTTTCTATATTGTCTAATGTTTTTATTTTCTATACTACATGATGTACTTGTAAACAACGTGTAAATTTTTTTTTAATAACGAAGCGTGTCATTTTCCTATCAATGATATACAGATATAGTAGACATTAAGCCAACTAATATGGAGGAATTAACAGAAGTTATAACTGCCGCGGAATTTCACCCGGCAGAATGTAATGTCTTGGTATATAGTAGTAGCAAAGGAACAATTAGACTTTGTGACATGAGATCTGCCGCGCTTTGCGACCAACATAGTAAGCTCTTTGAGGAACCAGAGGATCCAACAAATAGAAGTTTCTTCTCTGAAATAATTTCGAGTATAAGCGATGTAAAACTTAGTAATTCAGGAAGATATATGATCAGTAGAGACTACCTCAGTGTGAAAGTGTGGGATTTGCAAATGGAAACAAAACCCATTGAATGTTACCCTGTATGTAATAAAAAGCTAAATTTGATTATTATACTTTTAACAGGAACTGTTTATTAATCGCATTATTACAGGTACATGAATACCTAAGATCAAAGCTATGTTCATTGTATGAGAATGATTGTATCTTTGACAAATTTGAGTGTTGTTGGAGTGGTAATGATTCCGCTATTATGACGGGTTCATATAATAATTTCTTCAGAGTATTCGATCGTACAACTAAGCGTGATCTCACATTGGAAGCAGCGCGGGACATTGCCAAACCGAAAACACTTCTAAAACCACGTAAGGTTGGTACATACTTTCGAAAAACATATTAAAATGTGTTGGTAAAGTGCAATTATATTTTTATATTGTTCATAACGCAAGTATTTTTTAATTAAAGGTCTGTACTGGTGGTAAACGTAAAAAGGATGAAATTAGCGTTGACTGCCTGGATTTCAATAAAAAGATATTACATACTGCTTGGCATCCATCTGAAAATGTGGTAGCCGTTGCTGCTACGAATAATCTCTTCCTATTTCAAGACAAACTCTAGCACATCTGTATGCAAGTACGTTCATTCGACACTGCGACGTGTTTTAAACAAAAGGATCTTACTGAAAAATTACTTTTGATTTTTGTTTAGATCATTCAACGGTATATATTGACGTGAGCAAGGCACGTTCAACTGAAAAGTCCCAGTGGAACAAGGAGTGTCTGAATTACACTGACGAATGTCGACTATTAAACGTGTCAATGGTTGACTGACCGAAAAGTGGTGTACGTAGCGCCGTCCACACAGCTCACATATTCATACACACTATGTATACACAGACATACAGAATTGCACGTAACACCTTGTCGCGCGTATATGTGTATATAAATGCATGCAAGCAGAGACATACGCATAGCTCTCCAAACTATTGAAATCCGCTAGTTCAAATAAAATGCACGTGGAATCATTGCCCATTGATAAAGAAAAAAAAAAAAATATGTACAGTTCAACCAATCAACAGACTCGTGTTGGCGGTTATTATTTAACTATTTTAATAAAAAGTCAATATGTTCAGTTTTGCTTGTATCATAGAAATTTTGATATCGTACAATTTAAAATGCTTTTTAACATAGGTGATTTTTCTACGTATGGAATGGTATCTGTAAAGAAAGATGCATCAGTAGGGCCAAATGCATAGAATTAAAAATCGCTAGACGCGATAAGTGCATTCTTTGTACATGTGAGTAGCACATACATTTGCTTAATAAATTATTTGCAAATTGAAATGCCTAAGAAGTGCAAAATTCAATGTAGGGATATATATATGTGCCAATGAGATTAATCTATATAATTTGTCATGACTTTTATTCCCAACTCAGTATTGTTCTTCGTAACTTTTCATGTGTAGTACAAGTATGCGTTTTCAGTAGATAGTTCATTCAAAATTAAATTTTCTCCTATCGAAAACCATGTCCCTCGTTTGTCAAATTCGTTGCTGATTTTAGAGTAATCATATTTCCTGTAACTATTAATAGTAGCATTTAAAGTAATACCGGCGGTTACCATTATAGAGAAAATCAAGCTTTCGATCATTTCAATTAGTTATTTAGCGGGAGATAACGTTAAACCGTAGGCCTATATTCTCACGTTTTTGTTTCCTGAATAAAATATGTTGTCAAATATACTTACCAATGGCATGTCAGTTAAAAACAAATATTCGCCGATACGAGTCGAAGTTATGGAAAGATCAGATAAATTTCACCTACTAAAAACTCGAGAAAAGAAGAATTAATACCGATGCATTGCGTACAATAAACAATAAAAAACAACATGGGTGCAAAGCACCATTCGTCGATTGTCGCTTTCTAATTAAAAAAAAAGAAAAAAAAAAGCCAAGAAATATACGGAAATTGTGGTAACTATAAGTGGAATACAGATTTTCTAATATTTCTTATTGATAACTTATTAACACTTATACACTTACACATATAAGCAGCGATTTCGTACACGGATTAAAAAAGAAAAAAAAAAATTAAAAAGTGCATTTGACGATGGTAAGCTGAGCTTGCAGAGTTTATGTAAATTAAATATCTGCTGAGTAAACGTATATATTAGCGGAATGAACACTTTAACATTCATGAAACCTACAGGGACGAAATTCGAACGTAGCAATAGATGATCAAAAAACATACGCGCGGATTATCGATTGCGATCAAGGTGAATAAAATAGAAATTTTTTTTATCGATGAAAACCGATTAGCGAAAGTTGTCTGATATACATACCTTACATCGGTCGACTTAAATTGTACATGATCGAGAATTAGAGCTAATAATTTTCACGTGTACAAATAAGAATTCTCGAGACATAGGCTAGACAAACGACTTTCGAGGTTTCCTAACGATACAAGCAATCATATAGTTTTATAAAAAAAAAAAAAAAAGTATATGATCGCTACATTAAAACGATCTACGAGGGATTCACTCGAAAACGTGAATGATCCTTAAGCTTCAAATTAATTCTCTGAAAGATCTGCTATATGGCCAAAAATAGACCCACGTGATATAAAAAAAAAAAATATATATAAAAACGCTATTTTAAATTCTGCGCTTCGAATGGTTTCAACTAATCACATTCTTATTCAAACGATGTAATATTTAAACATTAAGTTTTAGGTATTGGAAATAATTAATTAGATATTTTATGCGTTGGATTTCAAGGTCCGATTTAATTTAAAGAAAGAAAAAAGAAAAGAAACTGTTACGTATTGTTACGTTTCTTGCAATGTAGCTTTCGTATGTCTTGTTTTATTAAGAGGCAAAAGAATGCTTTTGATAATATAGTCCCGCTTACAAGTTTTAATCGTGTTATGTCCATACTAAGCATTAACTAACGTAAAAATACAAAAGAAAACCAGCTTCTGTAATCATTTTGCAATGCAATGCATGAAACGTAATAATCGTGAACTAAGCCAGGATTATTACTCAGTATCCTTGTAACGCGACATTTAGGCAATTGTGTACTCACGGAGAATGGAGGTGAAAAGACGCACGAATAAAAAATGCAAAAATCATAATCGATAAGCTGTAATCATAATTCGTTCTTTAAAGAAAAAGAGATATTACGCGCGAAGAAACCGCGAAATTCGTTTTGTGCTCGAACAAAAACGTAAATATTATTCTAGGGACGCTGCGTTACTTATTTGTTTTGTTAACTGCTATGCAGGTTTAGTCACGGTGATGACGATTTGATCTGTTCGGTAAGCTAGATGGCATGATGTCGATGATGTAATTGACGGCGAGTTCATGTGAATCGTGTTAAGTGACCGGAATAAAGCGGTACTTGTTCGCGCGGTAAAAAAAAATATTTTACGGAAGCCGTTCTATTCCAAATAAAATGAAAAAAAAAAAAGAAAAAAGAACAACCACGACGTATGCAACGAAGAGCCCGGAGCTCCCGTTAGAAAACTTTCTTTCAAAATGTTCGTCAAGTCCAGTGCTAACAAGAAAGATCGATGAATATATAAGACTACTAAAGAAAAACACGGTAAAACTATATATATAAAAAAGAAAAAAGAAAATAAAAAAAAAACAACGGATCCCAATGATTGAAACTAACTTAGGTGTAAAGAGGAATTAAACGAAGAAGAAAAGAAAGGAAAAAAAAATGCAATTTGTATCCGCTTGCTTGATACGAGGAGAGGGCGAAAACGGAGGTCTCGTATGTATGGATCCCTCCCGAAGACATTTTTTGACTATTAGAGAGAGAAAAAAAAATGCCTTACAACTGGTCGTATCATCGCTGCATCCGTGCATCGGACAATCCGAATTGACATAAAAAAAAAAAAGAAAAAAAAGTTTAAAAAGAACGCTGAGCAGAGTAGAATTTCTGGCACGCAGGACCTGTCTCGTTGTGATATAATAAATGTCATTGTATTACTAGCCGAATGTTGGAGCTCTATTTTTATTAAGGTACCACGTATTATTAGTCCATACTTAGCGTTTTTATAGCGAATACGTAAGAGTCTTTTTACCTGTCTTGCGTGAGGTACAATGGAACGGAACTGCAATAGCGAGACTCGCGACACTAGGAATTTCATTTTAGATCAAGTTTTTTCGTGAACGTCAAATCGATCGAATCTCGAGCCATCGCATGAAACACGAACACACACACACACACACACACACTTCTCTCGATTATTATTTTACGATACATTTCTTCTCGCTAATATACACGCAACGAGGTAGAAAGAACGATTATGGTATCCATTGTCGAATTAAGAAGAATCGTGCCATAGAGTGTTATGCGTGAAAAATATTGTCATTTTTATTCTCTATTTTACACATTGTACCTTATCATCATTTCAGCAGAGAAAACGAAATCGAGATGACATGGTCGAGTTTATTTTTTGTTTGAGATTCAAAATTACCCAAGGTCTGTTTGCACGGTACAGATTTTTACGAGAAATTTACGCTACGAAAAATGTACAACATCACGAAACTGATGTAATTGAAAAAGCGTAAAGGCACGCGCATTAGGTAGCGAGAAGAATGATGTAAAGCATAAATCAGAATAATGAGCAAAACTTGTCGAAATCCAACAGCAATTGAGTAACGATAATTTTCACTCCTGCTTTCGACTCTACCATTCAACCTGATCGTAATTGTTTCTCAAAGGAACACTCGATAGTAGTCTCGAAGATGTTCGATTGTAATACTATCGTACGAATAATCGACCATCTTCGAGATCGTCGAGTTTATTTTGTACCGCATAATGTGCCTCAAAATGATGCCAGCGTACCAAAAGCGAATCGCAATTAAAATTCATAATAGCGATTGATTTGTTTGCAAGAGAAAACAAAAAAAAGAAACAATAAAAGTAGTGATCAAATTAGAAAGAAAGAAAAAAAAAAGCTGCGAGCGCAAAGCATTAATCATGAGGTTTATCGTAAACGATTGGAACGGTGTCGGAACAAAATGGATAAATACAGAGGCGAGAATTTATAAATGAAATCGCAAATGAAAAGACACTTGTATTATAATTGTAGCATTACGGCAGCGTATGTAAGCGCATTAAGATTCGACTAATTCAGAGAAACGAATGAACACTGCGTCGAGATATAGATAAGTTACATGGTAGCTAGTTCTGAACGAATGACAGTATGAATATTCTGTACTCTGCACGTCTGTGTCGTTGCATGCCTGTAAGGAGACAGAGGGAGGCCAATGATATAATCATTTATTTATTATCTTGTTTCGGGATAAAATGATATTATACGCATTTAAACATCGAGTATATCAGGCGTGTACGAAAAGAGAACGGGTGTAAAAGGAAATGCGTGAATTTTATTCGTAAATATTGTTACAATTTTTTTTAGTACCCTTTGTGAAGTATTTTCATGTGATTTTTTATTCTACGTTTTAGAATTAAATTTTTTTCTTCTTTTTCTTTCCTTTTTTTTTTCTTTCTTTTTTGAGATGAGTTTTCAATGCAAAAAATGGTACATGCCTGAAAGAAACATATTCGATGGTGACAAAAATGCGTTTCGACTGAGATCGAACGTATGCTTCCAGAATCGATTGAAATTTTATTTTAATCTCCTCATTCCTG